CAAAGGAGCGGCCCGGGCCGGCACTGACACCCGCCTCCCCATCACACACCGCCCAGCCACCAGTGAGGTAGCAGTGACGTAGCCATGACGTCACGGACCCTTGGTCGTGAAGCAGCCAATGGCAGTGCACAGGTCAGAAGGCGAAGGTGACGTCACGGTGCTCGTGCGGGCTCGGCGCCTCCCCGGCTCGCTCAGTTACCCACAATCCCCCGTCCCGCCAGTCCATGTCGCCGCCCCAGCCAGTCACCACAGCTGCGCCGACGTGACCACACGCGCGGCCTCATGCAGCGACCCATAGAAGAAATTAAAAGAAGATTGTTGACGTGCATTGACCAAGATTATAATGTAAGCATCTTCAGGATGTATTGAGTCACTAGATCTGCTTCAAAAACAAATTTCCAGCCTCGCACCGCGGCGGCAGCTCATGATCCGGGCCGCCATGGCTGACAAGGGCCGTCAGGTGGGCCACAACATATCGGTCCTTTTTATCAGACACAAAGCACTTCACGATCCCCAAGGGCACAAGCGAGTGGTTCCAGCGCGGAGAGCAGCGGTGTGTGGTGCCAGGAGCGGCGTAGGCAGTGGTGATGTGGTGTGTGGTGAGGGTGAGGCAACATTTCGCAGGTCCGGTGCGACGGCCGCTCGACGCGACTCTCCCGAGCCGCCGCCGCGCATGCGCCGCCCCGCCGGCCGCCCCCGCCACGCACGCGGCCCCAACATGGCTCCCGCCTTCCGCTCGCCCACTCGGCCCTCGAGCTGCAGCCGAGGCCGAGCTGGGCTTGGCGGCCTGCTGCTGGGCGAGGGGCACGGCCAGAGCCCCGGCGGGAGGCGAGGGCGAGCGGCGACAGGCGCTGCGGGCGCGTTGCGGGCGCGTTGCGGGGGCGGCCGCGGCTGGCCGTGTGGGAGTGCGGGCGGAGACTCGCTCGGCCATGGCCGCGGCGGCTCTCCGGCGCCATGAACGCCTTTCGCGAATTGCGCTGCTGCGGCCCCGTCCGTGCCCTTCGCGCCCCGAATCCCTCCGCTTCCTCCTCTGCCTGGGCTCGCGCGCGCGCCCGCGGGGGATTCAGGGGCGGAGGCACTGGGCGCAGCAGCCTGCATTAAATTACGTAATTTAGCTCTTTGTATTCTAAACAAATGATTCAATTCATTCCTGGCTCCAGGGGAAAGGGAGGGACTCGAGGGCACCCTTCCGCGGCATTCCAAGGGCCACGTTGACACTCGGGCCAAGGTAGACGGAAAAAGGTCAGACGAAACACTTTTCCGCGTGAAGGTCGTTTGCCCGCAACCTTGTTTATTAATGAGGATAAATAACATGGTGACCTTAACTTGGGATTTGAGATGAGAAAGTGCAGTCGCCACCCCGGGCCTTTAGGTTTTTCATCACAGGCTTTAAGGCAGGACACCATTTCCAGTACCGGGGACTCCACGCCCCATTAAAATTAGAAACCTTTTCCCTTGGCGTGTTTGCAGCAGCGTGTTCCTGCCCGGCCAACGCACAGCCCGAATTCCAATCTGCCCTAACCCACTTCATATGGCGGAAGGTGCACCAGTGGCCCCTTCCGCCCGTGGAAATATTTATTCCTTGACGAAAATGTGCTCATGGCCATAAGAGCAACGGGTGTGGATATTTCCGGCATGGCCATGCACGTCAGGCTAGCGTCATGAGGCCATAGTGAAACTCGTGATAGCTTTTCCTTGGGCTCAGTTCCCAGTGTGTGTGGCCAGGGACCTCGTTTTGGGACCTTATTTTAAAAGGAATTAAGTTTGAGAACATGGATATAATGAATATTATTAAAAAAATATATATATGTATAGAGGTACTGGACTGGAATTTATGTGAGCAGGCCAATGCTTAGGGTTGTCCCTTGAGTAGGTGCTGTTCGGAGAGATTAGTCAATTGGAAATCGAGTGAAAGTAAGATGGGCACAATTCGCAGTAATTTTGATGTGTACTTTTTAAATGGGCTCGGTATTTCATATTCGTGCCTTTTGTTATTTTGGTTGAGTGAGTACGTGCGATGTAATTCAGCGAATAGACTTTTTGTTTACTCTTATTTTTTATTTAATACATCAAATTTTCCCTGTTTATTGTAATTCCTTTTCATGTGTTAGAAGCCCATCTGCAGCCCCAGCGACACTATTGACCTATTGATTAGTCCTCTCCCCTGTAGTATGTCTGGCCTTTTTCATTACATGACACAATTAATTGATTGATTTTTCCTTTATATGCTTAAGTATGTCCAGTAATGATTTTGTTAGTTTTTTTTTTTTTTTTCTACCCCCCCTTCCCTCCAACGGACGCAAAGTACTTTATATTGAGGCATCTGGTTTCAGAAAAATTTATAAGCCATATATGTCTATAGAGAAGATCATTTTGCAATTAATTTTAACCAAACTATTGCTTTTCTTTTCTTATTTTGATAAATTAAATTTTATACAAAGGCATATCTTCCCCAGTGCATTTGAGAACTCCATCTCAAGCCATTTCTATATTAATGTAGTTTAATTCCCATATGGTATGACTTCATTTACTATACAGCTATTGTAAATCGTGAATGTAAATAGCCTTTGCAGAAATAATATACTGAATATTTAAAATGATCAAGTCCCTCAATGCTTTTAAATTTCAAGTACCCGCAGTTGTATGTTTAGAAAAAAAAAGCTCTTAGATATTAATTCACAGTGATCTTTATTCTTCTCATGAGTCTTGTTTTAAATTTGATGAATAAAAAGTTTTTGGATGTACTGAATATTAAAAGGCTGTGATTTTTTTTTCCATTTTTATTCTATATGATTTTATTTTTTATTTCTTTTTGGTACATGATAAGGATATGTATACTTTAAGATAGTCAACTTATTTATATATTTTGGTGCTGAATGTTATATAGAATTTCTCTACATATGTACTTATATGCATATGCATTTAAATTTGTTTATAGAAGTTCGTATGCATATATATTTATATATGTATATATAGAGACACATAAATAGATAGATATATTAACCAGTATGTATATGCAACAGTATGTATATGCAAATTGTGTGTGTGTTTGTCTGTCTGTCTATAGGTTTGTGTTTGTGTGCACACATGCTGCATGCCTGTTGGTGTTTGTATGATGGATATCAGTTTTTTGTCTGACAGTCTAGTCTTCTTTTTTTTATATATATATATATAAAAAAAAAAAAAATCAGCTATTTCCATTTCAAGATGTGCTTTAATATACCAGTAGCTATACTGGCACCACTACATAGAAATATATTTCCAGTAGGTGTGAAGATAGCAAACTATTTTGATGATTAAGAGCATAGATATTAACCCAATCGGCACATATGGCAAGAATACATAGATGGCTTTAAAAGTGCTTAGTCACCAAGGAATCCATTATTAGCCCTGCCTATCTCACCTGTTTATCCTTTTCCTCAACTTTTGGAAAGGGTCTTGCATTATTTCATAGTCTTGAATGTTATCAAGATTTTAATAAAAATTGAATAATCATAATATCAATAACAATAACAACAGTATCATTGTCAACTGTATTATAAAGAAAAACATTTTCCCGCCAATTCAAGGAATGTGGAAACCAGGATCGGTCATTAGGGCTACTGATAAACTTCTTGCTGGCTAGGCACATGTGGAGCCATCTGTATGTAACAAATTTCTCAAAAAAATTACAGGGGAAAGAACATAGGTCCAGGGTGGTTGGGTTAATTACTTTCTAATAGTAAATACAAGCTGGATAATCTACCTATCAGCAAACCTGAAGGAATTACCTAACATTAAAATGTTGTGATAGTAGTTATTTGTTTTTTCATACTTTGTAGTCTTGGATGTACAAGTTTGGCAGAGAATGTTTTGTCTGTGTTTGCAAATCCTGTAGACATTTTCTTGTCATTCACCCCAAGATTTTTCTGAAATCACTCGATAGTATCTTGTTATACAGTTCTTTTTATTGCACAATGTGGTAAATGATATAAATGTTGTTACTTTACTCTTTTATCTTTGCCTAGAGTTCTGGAAGGAAAATTCATAAAGGATCCAGTCTAAGGTTACTTGACTTTCACTTCATGGATTTTTGGTAGATTTGTGGTGATAATGATTTAATTTTATAGGAAGTACTGCAAATAATTTTACCCTTAATATCCTGTAAATTTGTATGTACTGAAAGAGAAACAATTTACTGCATACACCAGGAAGCTGAAGCCAGACGATTGGTGGTACTTCTAGTGGTATCTGTGTCAGGAAGTAGTAATATCCCTTTAAGAACTGTTTAGAAGTACCATCTGCACCATCTTGCAGGAAACTATTAACCAAGTCTCTCTCTCTCTCTCAAATCCATTATATTGATACTTTGAGCTGGATTATTGATTTGTAATCGTTTTTGTTTCAACCGCAATGGAAGACACTTTCGTGCCTTGATTTTTCATAATCCCCCTCTTCCTTTTTCCCCCATCTTCTCCTTTCCCTCTCTCCCTTTCTCCCCATCCTATATCCCTTTCTCCCTTTCTCCTCATCCCCTTCTTTCCCTCTCCCCCTTTCCCTCTTTCCTATCTCTTCCACTCTCCCCATCTTCTCCTTTTCCTCTCTCCCTTTCTCCTCATCCCCTTCTTTCCCTCTCCCCCTTTCCCTCTTTCCTATCTCTTCCACTCTCCCCATCTCCTTTCCCTCTTTCCCTTTCTCCCCACCTCCTTTCCTTTCCCTCTTTCTCTTTCTCCCCACCTCCTTTCCCTCTGCTTATCTCCAACTCCCTCTCCTCCTGCCTTTCTCCCTCTTCCTCTCCTTATCCCTCTGCCTCTCTCTCTCTCTTCCTCTTCCTTCTCCTCTTCTCTTCCTCTTCCTCTCTCCCTCTTTCTCTTTCTCTTCCTCTTCCTCTCTCCCTCTTTCTCTTTCTCTTCCTCTCTCCCTCTTTCTCTTTCTCTTCCTCTCTCCCTCTTTCTCTTCTCTTCCTCTCTCCCTCTTTCTCTTTCTCTTCCTCTCTCCCTCTTTCTCTTTCTCTTCCTCTCTCCCTCTTTCTCTTTCTCTTCCTCTCTCCCTCTTTCTCTTTCTCTTCCTCTCTCCCTCTTTCTCTTTCTCTTCCTCTCTCCCTCTTTCTCTTTCTCTTCCTCTCTCCCTCTTTCTCTTTCTCTTCCTCTCTCCCTCTTTCTCTTTCTCTTCCTCTCTCCCTCTTTCTCTTTCTCTTCCTCTCTCCCTCTTTCTCTTTCTCTTCCTCTCTCCCTCTTTCTCTTTCTCTTCCTCTCTCCCTCTTTCTCTTTCTCTTCCTCTCTCCCTCTTTCTCTTTCTCTTCCTCTCTCCCTCTTTCTCTTTCTCTTCCTCTCTCCCTCTTTCTCTTTCTCTTCCTCTCTCCCTCTTTCTCTTTCTCTTCCTCTCTCCCTCTTTCTCTTTCTCTTCCTCTCTCCCTCTTTTCTCTTCTCTTCCTCTCTTCCTCTCTCCCTCTTTCTCTTTCTCTTCCTCTCTCCCTCTTTCTCTTTCTCTTTCTCTTCCTCTCCCCCTCTCCTCCCTCTTTCTCCTTCTCTTCTCTCTCCCTCTTTCTCCTTCTCCCCCTCTCTCCCTCTTTCTCCTTCTCCCCCTCCCTCCCTCTTTCTCCTTCTCTTCCTCTCTCCCTCTTTCTCCTTCTCTTCCTCTCTCCCTCTTTCTCCTTCTCTTCCTCTCTCCCTCTTTCTCCTTCTCTTCCTCTCTCCCTCTTTCTCCTTCTCTTCCTCTCTCTCTCTTTCTCCTTCTCTTCCTCTCTCCCTCTTTCTCCTTCTCCTCCTCTCTCCCTCTTTCTCCTTCTCCTCCTCTCTCCCTCTTTCTCCTTCTCCCCCTCTCTCCCTCTTTCTCCTTCTCTTCCTCTCTCCCTCTTTCCTCCTTCTCTTCCTCTCTCCCTCTTTCTCCTTCTCTTCCTCTCTCCCTCTTTCTCCTTCTCTTCCTCTCTCCCTCTTTCTCCTTCTCGTTACTCTCTCCCTCTTTCTCCTTCTCGTCCTCTCTCCATCTTTCTCCTTCTCTTCCTCTCTCCCTCTTTCTCCTTCTCTTCCTCTCTCCCTCTGCCTCTCTCCCTCTCCCTCTGCCTCTCTCCCTCTCCCTCTGCCTCTCTCCCTCTCCCTCTGCCTCTCTCCCTCTGCCTCTGCCTCTA